ACTCAAGTTTAGTGAGTCCTCTCCCAGCCCAGCTCTCAGCTTTTCCCACGGCCTCTGGCCAAACCTCACTCCTTGAGAATCTCCAGACCTGTGCTTCCCTAGTCATGCTCACCTCCTCCAGGGCTTCTCTTATCTTGCATTTTGAAAAAAGGAAATCCCACTTCAAGCCCGCATATCCTCATCTGTAAAATGAGGACTATAAGGTGGTTTTGAGGTTTAAATCAAATGACGCTTGGGAGTGCTCGCTTTACGGGAAGCACTATGCAATGATTGTTATTGGTGATGATTTTTTATTGTCCCTTCAATTCCCCAATTAAAATTCTATCAATCTTGCAAGGCCCAGCTGGAACTCTGCCTCATCCACAAAACTTTTTTGTCCACTCAAGTTCGCAGGGAACTCTGTCCTACGTTTTCGTGATCACTCACGGTCAAAGGTTAATGCTCGATTGCCTTAAATATTTAATATTGTGTTACTATTGTACTAGGTCCTGATTGGTTTCATTCTTGGTCCCTGGTATAGAGGGAAGTTCTTGAACACTGATAATAAAGACTATCTTTTTCTTTTAGCCTCTCTGCTACCAGTTGTTATTAGCCTGAGCTCTTCTTCCGGGTGTCGTGATTAAGGACGTCCAGATCAATACACTTAACATGAACTCATTTGGGATAAACTGAGATAAATTGGCAGCATCTACACGGCAAATGACAACTTCCTGGGGTCCATCATCAGCTAGCTTTATGTAGCTGCTGCCCTTACTAGATAAGGAGAAGGCCCTTGTTCAGGGAGAAGGGCATTCTAAGGCTGGAGTGTTACTGGTGAAAGACCTTGTTTTGACACCATCTCCTTCTAAAACTGGTGGTTAGAATCACTGCAGAACTTAAAATATTGATGCCCAGGCCGCATTCCGGGCCAGTTAAATCCGTGTGTGTGTGTGTGTGTGTGTGTGGCCAGGGCGGGAGTAGAGGGGCTGGGTGGTGGTGTGCCCAGGTATAGTATTTTTTTTTTTTAAACATTTTATTTATTTATTTGACAGAGAGAGAGACACAGCGGAAGAGGGAACACAAGCAGGGGGAGTGGGAGAGGGAGAAGCAGGCTTCCTGCGGAGCAGGAAGCCCGATGTGGGACTCGATCCCAGGACCCTGGGATCATGACCTGAGCCGAAGGCAGACGCTTAACAACTGAGCCACCCAGGCGCCCCCAGGTATAGTATTTTTAAAAAGCTTACCAGGTGGCTTCATGATGCTGCCCAGGTTGAGAAGGATGGAATTGCTCTAAAATCAGGTCCCCCAGGTCCTCCACATGGTAAATGGGCTTCAGTTTTAATTATGGGACTTCACCTGTTTTTCAGGGATATTGGCTACAATTAGCTTGTAGGAATTAGCTTTTAGGAGAGCGTGGATGTCTTCAGAATCCAAACCATGCCATGAAAGAGAGAGCGTGTATTAACAGAGCATGCTCACGGACACGCAGTGTGCCTAGGAATAGAATTTTCCTTGCCCTAGGTCACTGGTGCCACAGCAGAGAACTGACAGGGCTCCCCAAGGACCTAAAGTATTTATAACTCTTACAGTATTTCTGCAAGGTGAGCTTTGCTGCCAGAGGCCTGAATTGGGGCTGTTAAGAGTCACTAAGGTGGAGGAGTTGGACACAGCTGCTGCAGGCTCCTGGTGAAATAGCTCTTAGCACTGCGAGACAGGGGCTCACGTGTCCTTGCTGGAGACCGGGAAGTGGGGAAGGCTGGGCTGGCAGACCACCCAGGCTTCCTCCTCCACCTTGTCTGAGATGTTTTGCACAAGAAGTAAGACCTCTTAAAAATAGATTGTTTGAAGTATTTATTTGCCATAAACTTTATCTATTCTAAGTGTACAATCCAGTGAGTTTTAGTAAATTTCCAAGGCTGTGCAAGCATTACCACGATCCAGTTTTAGAATATTTCCATCACCCCACAAAGATCCTGTGTGCCTGTCTGCAGCCCGTCCCTGTTCCAGCTTGGATCCAGGCAACCGCAAAGCTGGATTCCGCCTCTATAGTTGTGTCTTTTCTGGACATTTCGAACGAATGGAGCCATACAAAGTGTGCTCTTTTGTGTCTGGCTTTTTTTCACTTAAAACATAACGTTTCTGAGGTCCATCCAACTTATAGCCCGTGTGGGTATTTTGTTACTTTTTATTGCTAAGTGGTGTTGCATTGTATGGATATACTACATTTTATTTATCTATACATCAGTGGACTGACCTTTGGCTCTGTTCTACTTCTGGGCTATTACAAATAATGCTGCTATGAGTACTCATGAACAAGCTTTTGTGTGGACCTATGTTGTCATGGCTCTTGAGGAAAGAACTTGGAATGGACTTCTTGGGTTGTATGGTAAATTCATGGTTAGCTTTTTAAGAAACTGCCAAATTGTCTTCCAAAGTGGCTGCACCATTGTACATTTCCATCAGAAATTTTTTTTTTTTAATTTTATTTATTTATTTGACAGAGAGAGACACAGTGAGAGAGGGAACACAAGCAGGGGAAGTGAGAGAGGGAGAAGCAGGCTCCCCGCGGAGCAGGGAGCCCGATGTGGGGCTCGATCCCAGGACCCCGGGATCATGACCTGAGCCGAAGGCAGACGCTTAACGACTGAGCCACCCAGGCGCCCCATTTCCATCAGAAATTTATGAAGGTTCTAGTTTCCCCACATCCTCACCAATGTTTGTTATTATCTGTCTTTTTGATTCTAGAGTGTGTGATGTAGTTTTAGTTGAGGTCCACTTTGTCAATTTTTTCTTTTTTGAATCATGCTTTTGGTGTCTTATCTAAGAAATCTTTGCCTATTCAAGGTCACAAAGATTCTCCTCTAGATTTTAGGATATTTTAGATTTTCTCGTAATTCTTTTATAGTTTGAGCTCTTACATCTAGGCTTTAATTAATTTGGAGTTAATTTTTAGCTATGGTGTGAGTAGGGATATAAATTAATTTTTTTTTTTTTTTTTGCTTGTGGATATCCAGTTGTTCCAGCACCATAATTTAAAAAGATTATCCTTTCCCCTTTGAATTGCCTTGGTGCATTTGTTGAAAATCAATTGACCGTAAATATGAGGGATTATTTCTGGACTCTCAATTTTATTGCATTGATGTATATGTTTATCTTTATGGTCAGTACCACACTGTCTTGATTACTGTAGCTTTATGATAAGTTTTGCAATTAGGAAGTCTAAGTCCTCCAACTATGTTCCAAATTGTTTTGGCTGCTCTAGGTTCTTTGCATGTCTATGCAAATATTAAGATCAGCTTGTCAATGTCTGTAAAAAGCCTGCTGGGATTTTTTTCTGTTGTTGAACTTATTGATCTGTTTGGATGTCAGTGACCACCTCAACAATATTGAGCTTTCTAATTCATGAATACAGAATGTTTCTCCATTTAATTAGATCTCCTTTAATTTCTCTCAGCAATGATTTGTAGGTTTTGGTGTACAAGCCTTTCAATCAGTACTTTTTTTGAGAGTTTGTGTGGCCCTGATAGGAAAATGTGGTATTTTTTTCCCCCAGAGGTCTCATTGAAAACCATAGAGAGAGACACGTGGCTTAGCAGCCAGGAGCAGGAGGTGGTGCTGTGAGTGGGAAAGGTACTAGCCCGGGCATCAGGAGGACCAACTCTGATTTTCAGCAAGCCACTTCACCTTCCAGTTTGTTGATCTCTAAAATGAGTATAATGTAATTTATTTTGCTTCAAGGTTATAGAGTTAGAGGTAATGTGTGGAAGGAGCTTAGAAAATTGTCATAGTGGGTGTTTACTGTTTGGTGTCAGATACTGTTGGTGCCTGTGATGATGATGATGATGATGGTGGTGGTGGTGATGATGATGATGGTGATGATGATGGTGATGATGATGATGGTGATGATATGATGATGATGAGGAGGATGGTGTTGGTGATGATGATGGTGGTGGTTGTGGTGGTGATGATGGTGATGATATGATGATGATGATGGTGTTGGTGATGATGATGATGGTTGTGGTGGTGATGATGGTGATGATGATGATAATGGTGATGATGATGGTGATGATGGTGGTGGTGGTGATGGTGATGATGATGATGGTGATGATGGTGATGATGATGGTGATGATGGTTGTGATGGTGATGATGATGATGATGGTGTTGGTGATGATGATGATGATGGTTGTGGTGGTGATGATGGTGATGATGATGATAATGGTGATGATGATGGTGATGATGATGGTGGTGGTGGTGATGGTGATGATGATGATGGTGATGATGGTGATGATGATGGTGATGATGATGGTGATGATGGTGGTGATGGTGATGATGATGGTGATGATGGTGGTGATGGTGATGATGATGGTGATGAGGGTGATGGTGATGATGCAGTGTTGTGTGTGCCATTACAGGGGAGAAGAAGCACTGACGGAAGATGCTGCTCTTAGGGCTCTCACCCTGGCCACTGAGTCTCTTTGCAGCTCAAGGCAGAGGCCAGTGGTCCACAGTGGAGAAGTGAACATTCCATCTCATTTGCTCTCCAGACAACTCACTGAATTCACTTTTCTCATCCACATTTTTCACCAAGGAAACTGATGTTTGGAGAGATAAAGTCAAGGTTCCAATGTCACAGAGCTAGTAAGAAGCAGAGCAGGATTGAAAGCCAGGCTTGTCTAATTTCAAAGCCTCTGCTTTTCCACTACCTGTCACCACCTCCACCAGCTCCCATCAGGGGATCTACAAGGCAATGATAAATTCCAGGCAGAGCACAAAACTCCTCAATAGACAAATGGACACTGATAAATAATTAATAGATCTTGCCTATCTTTTGTGTTTGACATGTTAAAGGTTTAATTTTGTCTCAAGAATCAGGAAGGCAGATGTGGTTTCCATCACCAAGGATTAGATGGGAAAACCAAGCTGAATTCATGGGGGTTGATTATAGCTTTTAAAAAAAAGTCACCTGGGTTACATGGCTATAGAGATGGAGTTGAAAGGCAACCTTTGTTCCCAATTTTTAGTGTGATCTGACTTGAGCACTGAGTTGCACCTTACAACCTCCACGTTCTGAGCTGCAGTAGCACTGATGAAAGAGAGAGGCAGAGCTTGTGGCAACGTGAGATTTCAGATCCCGGGCTGCAGAGGTCCTCCGTCTGCTTCCTTCCCCTGGACCTGCTCAACAGCATCACAACGACCCACGGATGTGAGTAGAGCTGAGCCCGCACTGATGGCTCACTTGCTTTTCCCTTGTGTCCCATGCAGGAGATCGGGGTCTGATTTCTAGCAAACTCTTTCATATGGCGATGTGGAGAATGCATTGGCTTTTGGAATCAGATGAATTTTTTGTGCCATTTCCATTCTTGGCTAGTTTTGTGATTGTGGGGAATGTACTTAGCTTATCCGAGCCTCATTTTGTTCATGTAAAATCATGCACATAATTGTCATGAGGATTAAAATGACACAATGTCTATAAACTGCTTACTAGCTCCAGGTGTGCACTATGTCCTAGACAGAGTACTTTTGCTTCTTTCTATTGGAGTTAAAAATAATTAGATTTAGTTTTAAAGAATTCTCACTGTGGACAAGTGGCTTAGTCATGGTTTGCTGCACTCACAAATAGCCCCCAAAACTCGGTGGTTAAAAATCACAAATGTTTATTTCTAGCTCATGGTATCGGAGGGCTGAATTACTGTGCCTTTGCTGGGCACCACTGGGTTGGGTTCTGCTCTTTGTACCCTCTCATGTCAGGATCCCAGTGGAAGAGACATGCTGTTCTCACAGTGGAGGACAGAAACTCAAGAGAACAGGAGCCAATCTGTAAAGCATATTTCAAGATTCCACTTGGACACGGCATATATCACATCTGCCCACATCCGTTGTCAAACGGCCAAGCCCAAAGTCAGGGGAAGTATAGTCTACCTAAAGGGAAATGTGGTGTGAGCTTTATGAAGGAATAAACAATCTACCTTAACAAGTAAGAATTTTGATAGAGGCAGTTCTTGGTAAGTCAAGGAATAATCATTATACACATGGAATATTTGAGTTTCTTCATTTTTAATTGTTCCCTTTGGCTGTGGCAATTTGTTTGCTTTTTCAGGTTTTCTTTTTAAAAGCAGAGCTGATGAAAGACAATTTGTCAGCGTCTGAGAAAAGATTTTCCTGTTTTTCTTCCTTATTCTTCTCAGCCACTTGCTGATTCATCCTTTTTTTTTTTTTTTTTACCCATTTGAATGTTTGCTTGCTTAGGCTTCTCTTCTCCTTGTACACTCTCCAGGTGATCTCATACATAAGTGTGGTTTCAGCTGACTACTTGCTGAGGAATCCTATCTCCGCATTTACAACTCTCATGCCTTGGAGCTGCACACCCATACCGCCCGCTGCCACCTGGCATCTCTACTCTGATGCCATCTACATCTCAATATAGTCAAACCCAGCTCTGGCCCTCTAAGCATACCCTCTAGGACCGTCCAGCCAGTTGTGTACATCAAGACCTAGAATTCATCCTTGCTCCCTCCCTCTCTCCCTTCTTCCCTCTCTTATCCAGTCCTTTGCAAGTTCCCCTGCCTCTACCTCATAAGGGCCTCTCTGATCAGCCACTTCTCTCCATTCCCACTTCCCACAGCACTACTACCAAACCAGGATCCTCCTTCAATACCCCCCCAGCTGTCTCCCTATATCCTTGTGTTCTCCTTCTAATTTGTTTTTTGCACAGCTGTAGTCAGTGTGGTTTTGTTTTGTTCTGTTTTTGAGGGAGAGAGAGAGTGCGCGAGGCTGGGGGTGGGGGCAGAGGGAAAGGGAGAGAGAGAATCTTTTTTTTTTTAAGATTTTATTTATTTATTTGACAGAGAGAGACACAGTGAGAGAGGGAACACAAGCAGGGGGAGTGGGAAAGGGAGAAGCAGGCTTCCCACGGAGCGGGGAGCCCAATGTGGGGCTCAATCCCAGGACCCTGGGATCATGACCTGAGCCGAAGGCAGATGCTTAATGACTGAGCCACCTAGGCGCCCCAGAGAGAGAGAATCTTAAACAGGCTCCACACCCAGCATGGAGGCCTGTGCAGGGCTCTATCTCACGACCCTGAGATCCTGACCTGAGCTGAAATCAAGAGTCAGACACTTAACCGACTGAGCCACCCAGGTGCCCCTATCAGAGTCGTTTTTTTTAAAAGATTCACACTTGGTCATACTAAAGTGTGACCTTTGGCTTAAAGCTCTTCAACAACTTTCTATAATTTTTAGGATAAATACAAGAACTCTTTCCATAGCCTTCAGGATCCTGCATGATCTCGCTTTTTTTCCGTCCCCATCATTTTATTTTGCAACATACTTCTCCTGTCTATACTGTAGCTACAGTGTTCTCCCCTTGCAGATCCTTCCGTGTGTCATGCCCTCACCTCTCTTGGGGACTTTGCACATGTTTTCCTATGTTTGAAATGTTCTTACTGTGACCTCCATCCTTGAAATCCCAGCTCAGGTGTTTCTTCCTTGCTGAAGCACCCCCTGGCATCTCCAGGCTGAGAGGTTTGTTTTCTCTTCTACAAGCTACAGTATATGTATCTTTATGTGCTTAGAATGTATCTCGTAATGTTATTGTTTGCTTAGGTGGCTCTCCACCTGGGTTTCAAGGTCTGAGGGCAGAGTTCTGTCCCATTCTCCAATTTTTTAAATTTCTTTTGAGCTTAAATAATACGGTGCAAAAGCCCTTTGTAAGGTCTGGAGAAATCAACATTCACTGCTTGTAGAGCTCTTTTGTACTCAAACTCATAATCACAAACATCAGAATTTAGAGATGGAAGGGATAGCTCTTGTCCATGGCCTTTATTTATTATTTTTAAAAAAGATATTATTTATTTATTTGAGAGAGACAGAAAGACGGAGAGAACATGAGCGGGGGGGTGGGGGGGAGGAGTAGAGGGAGAGGGAGAAGCAGGCTCCCCACTGAGCAGGGAGCAGACACGGGCCTTGATCCAGGACCCTGGTGTCATGACCTGGGCCAAAGGCAGACGCTTAACCGGCTGAGCCACCCAGGTGCCCCCATGGGTTTTATTATTTTTATTAATGACAAAATTGAAGCCTCGAGGGATGAAGTGACTTGTGTAAGGTCGTGTGGCTGGAGGGTTTCAGGTAACGTTAGTCGTCCGAGTCCCATCTGAAGGGGAAGGTTTCCATACCCAGGCTGCTAAGAAGGCTCATCCTTTCCCCAAAGTTACCATTTTTTCAAAGGCCTCCTTTGTGCCAGGAATTGTATTAGGTTCTAATAAAGGACTACACACTGAGTTCAATCCCAATTTTAACTGGAGGGGAAATGAGAAGGTCAAAGGTTACAATGTGCAGCTCCTGTGTGGATAACACTAATCATTATGGTGACTTCTTTTTACTTGTTGTTTGTTGGGTTGGGGGTGAGGGGTTGAGACGAGAGCAGCCTGAGTGGGTTTTCATTGGAACCTGGTAATCCTGAAGAGGCTTCCTAGTAGGAGACTTTGCATGGTGTCAGGGTTTCCCTGCAAAGTGGTTCCCGTCCGAGCCTCAGGGAGGCTGCAGATCAGAGAGGTTTACGGAGCTCCCACGGTGCGGAGCCCACACTGGGCCAAGTTCAGCGAGGTGAAGAACTAGCAGGCATGGACTACTTCTGAGGGAGACCAGATCAAAGGATCAGGCCTGTTCTGATCCACTGTGCTGATTGGGAATGAGCCCATAGTCAGTGAGTATAGGGACTGGCAGCCTAGTTGACCCCAAGTCATATACCAGACTGTACTGTTCTTAAGTGTTAATCTCTTGGCCTAAACAATTGGTCTGCTTAAGAAACCATTAGCCTGCACCCTTGGCAAACACCCAGCATTGCCCTCCGATCGCCCTGCATCTGTGCTGGGCGCCCCCCCTCACGCCTCAGCAAGATCAGAACTGTAATTGCCCGAGCAGACTGCCAGCATGCTGTCTCCACCGTCTGGCTGCTTGCAAAGAACAGATAATCCTTTTAAAGTCTTAATAGAATAGATGATTTGTTTGGCCTTATTTTCTAACATGAGCTTTTAGACAGCCTGTATCAAGTGCACAGGTTTTGAATCTGAATCCTAAAGACGAAGAGTGGTTAGCAACAGGAAAGAGCTGATGGCAGAATCACGCAAAATCAAGTCTGGGAGAATCAGTTTGGTCGATTTCCCTAACATGGATGTCTTCTTTTGCAGAGAGGCAGACTGCATTGGTAGGGAAAACACAAAACATGGCATCAGAAAGACCTGCTGCCAGGTACTAGCCAGATGAAATAGGGCAACTACTAACCTTTTTAAATGTTCGTTTTTGTATCCATACAATGGGCCACTAAGTAACATCTTTCAAAGCTGAGGAAAGGCTTTGGGAGCTGTAAGTCCTGCCATAGTATAAGGTACTGTTCTGGGTGGAGCCCAGTCCCCTCCTCCTCGGGGTGGGGCCTGCTTTTGAGGAAACTGCCCCGCTGGGCGAGTTGTATGCATTGTTACCCATGAGGTATCCTCAGCTCTGTTGCCACCTTGAAATCTGAGAAGGCGGCTGTGTAGATGGAGCAGAGGGTCCTTCCCAGGGCTGGGGCTTTGCTTGCTTCTTCAGGCAAAGACCTGGCAGGAAGGGGGGCTCCCAACAGATGCGCTGATGGGTGGGTGGGTGGGGGGGAACAGACACTGCCTTCCTGTCACCTCCCTGTGTTCGTCTCAGGTACACAAGCTTAAATCATGCACGCTCCTCAATAATTGGAGTTTTCCTCATCGTTTTCCCAAGGTAGGCCCCTCCCTTATTTATTTATTTGTTTGTTTGTTTATTTGTTTATTTTTATTATTTAGATTCAATCAGCCAAGGTATAGTACATCATTAGTTTTTGATATAATGTTCAATGACTCTTTAGTTGTGTATAACACCCAGTGCTCATCACATCACATGCCCTCCTTAACGCCCATCCCTTTTTAAACGTAATACCCTTTACAACCTCACGCTCACTCACCTTTCAGGGGACGACATCCAGGGCCCATGTTTAAAAGTGCATTTGCCATGTGTGTAAGTGGTATGGTGTTGTAGTCATTCAATTCGTCAACCAAAATTTTTCTTTTTTTTTTTTTTTTAAAGATTTTATTTATTTATTTCACAGAGAGAGATAGCAAGAGCAGGAACACAAGCAGGGGGAGTGGGAGAGGGAGAAGCAGGCTTCCCGCGGAGCAGGGAGCCCGATGCGGGGCTC